GAGAGAGAGAGAGAGAGAGAGAGAGAGAGAGAGAGAGAGAGAGAGAGAGAGAGAGAGAGAGAGAGAGAGAGAGAGAGAGAGAGAGAGAGTTCCGTTCAACATTGAAATTGGACCGACATAGAGAAGATTAACAAGGCTGCTGCACAAGGATGACACGCTTCAATCGAGATATGGACCATATATATAATTAAAAAAAAATAAAAAGGAGAGAGAGAGAGAGAGAGAGAGAGAGAGAGAGAGAGAGAGAGAGAGAGAGAGAGATCCTTTGAGACTTCCGTTCAACATTGAAATTGGACCGATACAGAGAAGATTAACAAGGCCGCTGCACAACGATGACACGCTTCAATCGAGATATGGACCATATATATATAATAAAAAAAAAAGGAGAGAGAGAGAGAGAGAGAGAGAGAGAGAGAGAGAGAGAGAGAGAGAGAGAGAGAGAGAGAGAGAGAGAGAGAGGGAGAGATGGTGGGAAGATGATGGCGAGAGATTGGAGAAAGGCCGAAGGTGGGATGGTGGGAAGGGGGGGAAGAAGTCGGGAGGAGTGAAACACCCAGTTACTAGTGTGTTTTATGTAACCCCGTCCCGGCAGGCCACGCCGCTTTTAGGATATGCCTTCACCATGGCCTGCTTATCCCCATCCGTAACCACTCAAGTTTCTAAGGGAAGAAGAAATTTGTGCGTGAAAACGCCCGTGCTATACCTTGGGATAATCTCTATCGTGTGGACGACGTCCCTGTCAACAACCCCTTTCAGCTCTTCAAATAGATCAGGGTATTTAGCGACTAATCCCCCTGTCTCCGGCGGCATTTTCACTGGCTCGCCTGCTGCAGAGACATAAACAAAGTACATACCCTCCTCCGGATTTTGCTTATAATAATTATAGAACGTGGCCGCACACATGCATCCGTAGGACTTGATCAGACTACTAGCTTTGAACTTACGTAATCTGGCGGTCCCCCCTCCGGGCAAAGTATGTTTGACCACTTTTCGGTCCCAGTCAAACTGGGGCTGTGCAACCGAAAGATAGTGCATACCCAACAGGATGTCCATTGGGAGATCATCGCCGACTAGGAACGAGACGCGATGTCTCAGTTCCCCTCCCCCGTACGGGAAGCAACACTCAACGTCTTTAAGGTAGTCATTGACTACCATGCGCTGTTTGTTGGCACAAGTCGACTCCACAAGTCGACTCAGGCGCTGCACTTGCCCCTGTAAGCGCAGCCTCTCAACGCACGTGGTCGGAGGGCGTGGTGTCCCAGCCCTCCTCTGCGTACCAAGTCCCTACTTGGTGCCAACCCTTGCCTCGACGTTGTGGCTGTTCCCGAACCACTACGATCCCTAGTATTCGGGCTGTACCTTGATGTGGACCGGCCCCGTTGGTGCCTGCCTCGACAAAAAGGTGCGCCACAGGGCTTTCCATTGGTCCACGCAGGCTCGGCGCCCTGCTGTACAGCAGAGCACTACCGGCCTGTAGCCATGGTAGCCGCCGGGTTCGCTCTGGGACTCGAAGATGAAGGGACTGGCGCAGTTTTTTCTACCGCGCGCCAAGTGTCCCTCGCCAGGTTATGGGTCGGATGCATGGAGCGGTGATCTTTGTCGGGAAAAATGGAATGTAAAAGAAAAAGAAAATGGAACGAAAGGTAGAGGTTTAATCTTTGCGGCTGAACTGTCAGCCTCAATTCGGGGAAATCTGACGGCCTCTAGTCACGCTGTCGTTACGTTTTTTTATTTCTTTTTATTATTATTATTATTATTATTACTATTATAACTGGTATTATTTTTGCTACAGAGTTCTCCTCCTGTCTTTTTCGGCTTGTCATCTCGTGGGAGGACCAACGTTTCGGGTTCTGAGCACGACTGTGGTCGGTGGCTTGGATTGGCCCGATCTTTCGCTTACCACCATGGGATCTGACCCGTTCGATTGAGAGTCGCGCGATGGAACCCCAAAAGAGGGGTGACCCGCGGCCGCATCGATAGGAGGCTTATCACCCTCCTTGGGGGGGTCATAAGCCCCCTCCTTGCCATTGGACACGGGTACCCAATGGAGATAGGCCGACAATTCATTTTGAAGAAACAAGAGCAGTCGTCGATATCTCGTTATGGGACCACAGTATCGAATCCGCAGCCCTGTCACAGAGATCTGGGACTAATGGTGGCGTGAGGTTTAGAGCGCGCCCGACCGTTGAGTTATAAACTTGAGCATTTCCAAAATTACTTAATTTTAATTTATTTCATCATCTGAAAAATTCTAAAGTTTCTTTAATTTTTAAAGGTTTAAAAAGAACTAATTTAGGTTCTTCATTTAGAGCGCGGAGATCTTGGCAAACAACGATTCTATAAAAGGAGGGGGGAGAAGCCTGTGAGGGCGCGGCGTGCTCGTGTTTCTCTCAGAAAAGGGGGCACAGCACGCTACCAGTCGGGTAGTGTTTAGTCTGCGCTAAGTGGTACGTTGTGTTGGGGTAGCAACCTGGCACTGTGCCACGTTTGCCGATAGCCTGGCTATGGCACGCTGCAATGGCCTGCGCAGCTACCGGCCCGATTACTGGAAGTACATGACCCGCTGGTCTCCTATGTCGGGCGAAGGCCCCAGGATCACTACGATCCTGAGTTACAGTGGGGGAGATGAGGCGAGATTGAAGGTTACCGTAGAGGGAGCGAGAGAGGAGGAAATGAAGGGAGACCGGAGACTGCAGTTGGCCGTCATGGAATCTAAGAACCGGGCGAAGAGAAGGATGCATAGGGATGGGGTCACGGCAGAGGTTCGTGTGACCATTACTTACCACGAGGTCGAAACTTCAACGGACACGGTTGAGCGAGCGCAGCAACATCTGGACCGCGATTCCGAGGCCGAGAGTGACGCCAGCGACTTGGAAGCGGAAACTTAGTCCTGGCACGGGCTGAACCAGATCCGCAGGAATCATCCGCTGGCTGGAACGGTGGAAGACGGCCCGGAGGCCAGATCGGAGTCGGCAGTGAGAGGGAGAACAAGGCCAGCGGAGACGGGGCCATCAAGAACACGAGACCGGTAGAGTGCGAGCGCGAGAGGCAGTTACGTGCGGGGGGGTCAGCTAAACAGCGCTCTTGTGTGTGTGTGGGAGTCTGAGAGAAAGTGGGGAAGCGTGCAAGGATCAGGGCGGGTTCCCCACAATCAAGTGAGCTGAAGCACTCCGAGGGATAGTGAGGGAGACTGCATTTGCTGCTGACGTCAGCTTTTAACGATCGCGCCCAGAGAAGGAAAAAGCTTGCGCCCGATATGCGTTGTTGCTTGGCTTCTGCTGACGTTGCGGATGAAGCCTGCACGCCTCCTGTTGATGTTTCTTCGGTCGGGTGCTTTCTACTTGCATGATTGTAGTGACTCCGCCTATCACTGATACTCACTGGTCACTGAGGGAACGAGAGCACTACTTCGCGCTCTAGTTTCATACGTGGCCCTGCGTTATCTCCCGAGAGTTGCCAGGATGGGGCGTCGATAGGGATCAAGCCTCGTACATGATTTGAGAGGGAGGAGTCAGACGGTGTTTTTTTTTTTCCCGAATCGTCAAGATCATTAAGCTTCGCTACTGAGATCGGATGTATGAATGCAAACGCTGGCTATTGGATGTGAGAGGTTCAAGGACTCTTGCGGAAAAGCCAAGTGACTCGCACCTCTCCTACCGAGAGATCATTGCTTCTAATAAGAGATTTGCCTCTCATGGCATGTGGCTGAGCGCGTTCGCATGGGATGATGTCATCTGACACATGGACTCTGTCAGTTCTACCAGTGCGCGCTAACTCGACTCAAGTGCAATAAGACGGGAGAATGCGAACCGGCCAGTTATCATCAGCACGTATTGGGGAGAGAAGACTCGATTTCCATCCCCTAGGCGCTGCACGTAGATAGGAATGGTGTCGATCATGCCAAGCTCCTGACTTCTATCGAAACAAGGGCATGGTATATCTTCTCATTCTCGTGGAAAGGGGGAGAGTAAGATCTCGTTTAAATCGGTATTGGGTGATTGAGCTTTGATCAGTCACTTTTATGCTATCCCTTCCGATAATGTGTCCGTTTGGTTGTGCTGTCAGGATCACATGATTAGAATAATGCGAACGCTGGCAAGTTTGTTGACAGACCGTCGCGAGCATGTGGCCTTGCAGTCCTGAAACGAAATGCTGGGTTCGAACTTAGCGGTATTCGTTATTGGATTTTGAACCTTGTGTAACAATGCTGGTAAGGTAAGTCCCAGTCCTCCAGCCCCGTTGTTCGGATATTTGATTTAATATGATGAATAGAATATGATGCCTTTCGGAGGGAGGGCTAGATCAGTTGTTGGTTGGCTTACAGGGTTGAATCAGCGGGAGCAGAGGGCTCAACTTTCGCTCCTTTCCCTGTGCTTTCCCGTGTGATGGAGTATTGTTCATGCACTCACCTAGTGATCTAAACCTTCTGAATCAGTGCTGACGAACCTCTTAGCACTTCCCGGTTGGGGGACGTTGGTTAAACTCATGACCGTTGATCTTCTGATAACGAGTGAGAGTGTAAAGGTTGGAAATAGTGAAAAGATAGTAGGCACGAACTCGAGTGAAAACTGGGAATGTATGATAAATGAGCCGGTTTCTCCAGTTCCCTATTCTGATAAGCAAGCTAAGATTACGGAGAACAATAGCATATCTTTTGGTCAAATACCTTTTTGACGGGGACTGATCGAGGCTTCGACTCAGAGGCATGAATTGCATTAGTGCTATGTAGGTTTCTTCGAGACACCCTACTGTACTGGTGGCCATACTGACTGTGATCTACAGTTCCATGTCTATTATGCTTAAACTTAAAGAGGACTAATTGCCAGAAGTCACTTTCAGGATCAGTCAGTCACTGGTCATCTATCGACCCTTTTCCTGCCACCTATTAAGAAGGGTACATTTCTGGCCAGTGTTCACGACATGTCGTTCATCTCGGGGACTGACAGGATCTGTGTGTGACTACTCGCCATGGGTCTGTGTCATGGTCATTAGTGTGACCCCTGTGCATTATCCGTTTGGGCTGTTCCAATTCTGCTAGTGGTTATGCTGGGAGGCCAGGTGAGCGGAATTTTCCAGAGTGTGAGTACAGTCTGACGGACCACGTACACCCTGGGTTAACACTGTTGATAATATGAAAACTCAATGCAGATGCAGGAGAAGACTTCTAAAAAGACTAATTCCGGATATCATTCTTCTTGTATTGGTGAGGAGGGCGGTGTGTGATGCCGCTCATAGTCGAGTGAGGATAACTACAACTAACACCAGTGTACCCTCTTTCTGATAAAATTTTCCATTTTAGGATCTTCGAGTACTACTCGTACAAGATTTCTTTTCTGCTTGGATTGTGTATTTTTCTCGAGAGGTGCTTGTTATACGCAGTGTCTGACTGGCTACCCTGGCAAGGTCTGTCTGCTGTGTCGGAAGACTGTTTTGGCATTTCGCCTGGACTATATTCGTAAGGGAAAATATCTCGTCGCATGTAGACCTGCCACTGGTCGGTGTTACGGTTAGATAGGCCGTGATTCAGCGCAGACAGTAATCGCAGGTTCTGATCACGGCTAGTCACCATGATTCACCCTTTTCGTTGTTTGGGGCAGAAGTTGGACGATCCCCTGCACCATCAACACTTCCCGCTGAGTTTCCACGAAGTAGGGCCACTCCGGGCTGGAGGTCTGTGTCAACCTCAAAATAGCGCCTAACGAAGCTGTGACGGGGTGATGAATATAACGAAGCAGTGACGGGGTGATAAACAGCCAG